CCATCTACAAAACTCTCACCTTGGAGTTTCTGAGTTCATTTTCATACATTACCCCTACTGGAGCCACCAACCAACTCTCTGTCGTGGCCAAATTCCGTATGTTTGGCACTGAGTATCAGCTGTCACAAACTGATATCGCGCGGCTGCTCGGTTTCAGTTCCGACGATGGTGTCCACCTCCGGGTGCCGGATAATTTCGGCGAGGAAGCATTTAATTTATGGCACAGCATGACAAACATTCGTGCCGGCTCTTACGACCACCTCAACGCCACCCATATCCATAAGTCGGCTATCCGATATTTTCACTGCATCCTTTGCAACACCATCTTCGCCCGAGATAGCAACCACAAGCTCAACTCCAAGGAGCTTTTCTTCATGCACTGTGCGTTCACCGGCCAGAAAATCAACGCTGCTCCATTTCTATTGGCCCATATTCACTCCATCTGCGCTAGAGGCGGCAAACCCTTCTATTTCAGAGGGATTGTCACTTCTCTTGCTATAGCTTTGAATCATGGTGCCGCTCTCACTGATATGCCTTCTATGGCGCCGACATTGCTTACTCTGGACCACTACAAAGCTGCACACCTCATCTATGAGCGGGAGGATGGAAAATTCCATCCTGTGATCCGAAACATCGTTTATAATAACATTACTTTGCCTTGCAGGGACCGAATTCTATCCTGCAGCTCCCGAGGGCCATGTTCTTATTCATGAAGATCAACCTGATGCCCCCGCAGACGAGATGCAAGAAGAGTTGGACAGAGCTGCCCCCGTTCATGACATTATGCGACCTTCATCTGCACCACCTCCTATCTCTCTTGAGGACATTCTCCGCGCCATCCCTCGGCAAAATCAAATGAGTGCCGCACTTGAAAGAAGACAACAGGAGCAATATGACTATTTATGTGCACAAAACGCTCAGATTCTGAGTGGCCAGTGGAGCATGAACGAAAGGTTGGACGAGGCCCTGTCTGAACTTAATACTTTAAGGTTGGACGTCAACACTCTTGGCTACCAAGACACTGATACCGAAGCCACGCCTACCAGGCGATCACGCACCAGGAGTAGAGGACGTGACCATCAGTAGTTTTTATTCTTAAGTAGTTTACTTTTGTTGTTTCTTTTTCTTTTTCTATTTGTATTTGTATTTCCCCGCCTTTATACCACAACATTGAGGATAATGTCGGATATAGTGTGGGAGAGGTACCTTTCCATTTACCATAAATAAGTAATTTTTTACTATATTTCTCAGTTTAAATTCTTCCCCGCTTTATTTAGCCATATCGAAAATTTTTGCTTTATCTTCGCATAGCCCGACATACCTACCTTAACGAAATCCTAGTTAGGAAGCCGAGAATGATTCAACAAGATCGATACAGTTATGACACCTTAGACTTCCTACTTACGCGATCCATTTTCAATAACCATTATACCTATATCTTGAGTTTTAGTTCTAAAGTAACCCCTAGTAGTTTATACTAGCAGTCAGCACCGTCTTGACACAAACCACGTGGGGAGCCAATGAATATAAGTGTTTGATGCCTAATCAATGAAATATCCTTCTTATCTCGCTGCTAAAAAGGAAAAAGTTGCACCAAAATACAAGGTCACATATAAGAGATGAGCAAATAATGAAGGAGTCCATTGTTGGTTGGTTCAGAAGTATCTGGTTCTGAACTTGGTAGGGCGTGCTACGGCTCGATCCCCCACAACCTCCAATTTGGATAATATGTGTAGGGTTGCCACATTCGTGTACCAGACTCTATGCTAAAAGGATCAAAGTCACTAACCGGTTACTCCACTACGTGCGTGCTAAGACAAAGGGCTTAATATGATTGCGCTAGAACAAACCGGGTGAAATAGGTACAAGAGACTCTAGGGATAATTATAACGGAACTATTGGACAGTTTGTTTAAAATGGAAGTCCACGACTTAGCTTATTGCTTATGTCATTAGCGTATCGTTAGTGTTTTACTTAAGTATCGGTCGAACTAACGAATGATTTCCCGTAATTGCTTTGAAAATCAAAGGTATGTTATGCATGTGCGTCTGATAAAACTTGTCTGATCTTTCTAAATGATTATTTGCTTGAGGACAAGCAAAGGTTTAAGTATGGGGGAATTTGATAACGAGAAACCGTATCATATAATTGCTACGTTTTTAATCCATTTTCATACTGCATTAATCCATTTAACTCCCGATTGTTCCGAGTTTTTATGTCTTTTCACAGGAACAACATGTTTCAAGTCAATTTAGTGAAAAAGATCATATGAAGAAAGCTAACATGAAAATCAGAAGAAAAAGGAACAAATCTGCAAAATTCTGCAGATTTTGATGTTATGACGGTCGTCACACATCTATTACGACTGTAACGCGCTCACATCATGAAGAACGCTCGTCACACATCATTGACGAACGTAACGCGCTATTTAAGCGTATTACGACCGTCACCTCTGCCTTACGACCGTCACACGCGTAATTCAACGTTATGAAGAACAAGAGACGTGGGCAACGTAATGAAAGGATTATTCACTCCTACAATCTCTCAACCTCACCAACGTCCGGTCCTGGTTTTTCTCCACTAAAGAAGTACAAGTCCACATTCCTATTATTTCTTAATTGCCAATTTCTCTTCTATAAATAGGAGAGATTTCAATGAAGAAGGAACAAAGTTTTTTACAAAATTTCTTGCGGAAGCCCTGCCAAATTTATGAACCATCAGTTTGCATTTTTTTGTTCTTGTTTTATTTCCCTTTTACCATTTAATAGCTATTTCCAACATTAGGAAATTGCTATTGTAGTTAGAATTTATTTTTAGCCTCAGAATTCATTTCAAGTTCTGATTCCGAAGGTTCCAATCTTGCCGGCTTGTGGAAGAGGGAGCTTGAGGAATAGTATTTTTATTCAGGTTTTTAATTGCATTTAATTTAATTTTAATACAATTTGTTTATGTTTAATTATTGTTATTTATTTATCATGTATGCTTTACTGTTTCCCAATTATATTTCCTGTCTGTCTGTTTCAAGTACTATGACTAGCTAAATTTCTAGAGTCGGGATGTGATAATAGTAACTAAATGGATTAAATTGTTCCTAAGCTAAAATCTAAATTAACTTAATTTCCGGCTGTGACTTTTTATAATTAAAATCAATCTTTTTGTTACGAAAGTAAGAAAAGTAGAATAGGTTAGGATCAAGACCACGAGAGTGTGAGATTTTAACCGGATAGCTAAAGTTAGGCATTTGATTTAAATACAGCGAGAGCGCTTTAAAACGAATTAGATCTTATTAAGTTTTCAAAGAGTATTTTCTAAACACTTATGGGTTAGCGAGAGCAGGCATAGGGCTTTAGGGGTATAATCCGAGATAAGACCATGAAAGTGTGAGTTAAGGGTTTTTAAACTGATAATTTCTACAGAACCATCTAAATTAAACATCTTTATATGCTTAGGTTCGATTAAATCCACTTAGGTTCACTATATTACATACCGACCGTTTTATTATTATTATTATTATTCCCTTAATTCGATTTAGTTTTCCTCTACTTTAACCTCCAAAAAACCAAACGTGACAACATCCGCCTTAGCTAAACTAGCAAACCTTTATAGCACTAGAGTGATTACAAAGTCCCTGTGGGTTCGACATCTTTTTATTACTATCGCGATAGGCTGTGCACTTGCAGTTAAGATACCGTTAGACACATTAGGTCGATCGCGATATCAGATGTGGCATCTCCCTCTCTTGTGGTCTTAGAGCATTGGTCCCGTTGGTGCTTCCGGCTTTCTCAGACTCCCCAATAGTGGTATTAGAGCCGTGGTTCGGCTTGGTGGAGGAGCGGGAGCTGGATCCGATGTTGAATCCTGTTATAGGATGTGGGGACTCACACTTGTGGGTGAAATATTTGATTTATAAGAGAGATAACTCACTTATCTAATACCTTAATATTTTGGGTTGAGATGTGATATTTCTCTCTCTTATAGTCCTAGAACATTGATCTCATTAATACTGCTGACTTTTTTGTATTTCCCAACACTCTCAACCATAAATATTTTATAGAATTCTGTATTACACGTTACACTTGCCACACATTTTAACGATTCAATACTATTAATTCAATTTAATTAATTTTTTTTTGCTAAGTCTACTTTTTCATAAAATAAACTCATTAAAGTAAAAGGTCTATAAAGTTACGAGTTAATATCACATACTTATCCATACAAATTTTATAAATTTATGCAAAATTCTATATTATTTGTCCAACTTTGTACACATTTTAACAAATCAATACTAATTCAATTTTATTTACACTTGTACCACAAACAAATAAAGAGAGTCGTGTCTAATTTACAATAATAAAAAAATAAAAGTTCGAAAAATAAATCTAAAAAAACAAAAAAAACACTAAAAATCAAATACACAAACATTAGAAATTACTAACATAAAGATAATTACATCAAATCATCATATTATTCTGATTTTAAATGACTGAATTTATCAAACACATGATGGACAATTATCGTGAGAACCAAAAATAAATAATTACAAAATTTTAACTAATTCAAGCAAATCTATGAAAAATGTAAACATAACTGTTATTTACATATTCACAATTAAAAATCAAACTTTCAGAAAACATTGAAACTTAAAAGGGGTTCATAAAGCTCACAGTCGTAGTAATTGAATAATATAACTTTAAAATAATAAAAACTTAAGAGATTTTAATTTCTATTTCTTTGTTGAAATTGTACAATGTATACAAACTGCATAAATGTTTAAGTACTAAAAAATAATAAATAATAATTTGCTTACATATATACAAAATTGATAAGAAAGCATAGTGATGAACTTATCACATGAATGAATAATTGTTAATGCATGTTTGAACCATTAATGTGATTATGAGTATCACGGCGAGTATCGTGATTCTGACAAAAAAATCATATGATTTTGTTGTTAGTTCAAACATACACAGATTCTTAGGAACAACCAAATTGAGAAAATTCTAAGCATTGACATAAGGGGTAGTTAATTGAGTGCAACTAGGTACTCTTCGACAAGGATGTGGATTAACATTGATAAATTCCTTCTTATAAGATTGTTTCTTTCTCTTCTTTGCATCAGGATGTTTTGGTTTCTTCAAATCTTCCAAGAAATGAACATCTTCCATACAAACAAATGATCTTGCCTTCCCTGAGTAATGCCTTGATAATCCTCTCCTGCTAACACAAATCAAACCAAATTAAATAAATAAACGAAGATACAAATATTTATTTATTATATTATTTAAATGTTCTTACTTTTGCGAAAAATTGGTTCCAAGTGAACCCATGTTAAGTATCATATTTTCAATCTCTTGTTCCATTTAGCTAGAGGTGGGAGAAAAATAATAAAACACAATTGTTAAATATGTTGATTGTGATTGTGAGATTCTTTACTGTTGTTCATTGTGTATGAGAAGTTGGAGAATCAATTAAATATAAAATTATATGAGAGACACATTTACTAATTAAGAAAATGATTGGATTAGATTCAAGTTCAATAATTAAAAAATGGATATGGTGTTTATAGACAAAGGGGTTATATGTTATCACCACATCCTTGTCTATACTTTCTCTCAATCATCCAAAAAAATACTAATTACAGGTGAATACAAATATATGCATGTCAATACATACCTCCCTTTTTTTTCTTTTCTTTATTTTATTTATCATTTTTGTTTATTAATACATACCATCTACCATTTTATATGTGTCAAAAAGTAAACTAATATATATATAAAGACTCACTTTATAGACAATTCAAGCTTATCTTTTCCATATCCATACCTAATATTCAAAGAGATTGAATAAAAAAGTGTAAGAGAATTAGAAAAGCGGTTTTTATTTTTAAAAAATCCACACAAACGATAATTAAGTTGAATTTTATTCAGTTAATATATCAAAGAAATTAATATTATATTATTATTTTATTTTTATTTTTTAAATTATGTGTGTCTATATATTAAAGAATAATATTTTTTATTGTTTACTATTTTATTCGTTTTTATTGTTAAAATAAATATGAATATATATATATATATATATATATATATATATATATATATATATATATATATATATATATATATATATATATATATATATATATATATATATATATATATATATATATATATATATATATATATATATATATATATATATATATATATATATATATATATATATATATATATATATATATATATATATAAGTTTTAAGTTCTAATATATATTTTTAATATATTAAAAACGCAAAGCTGGCAAGTGGATCAATTAGAAATAAAATTTTAATCAATTTTGTGTTATAATTTATTTGATTTAAATATGATATTTGTGTCATGCCACTTAATTTTTATTTAAATATTTTAATTATTCGAGCTGAAAAGAAAACAACGTCAAATGATGATATTGACGGAGAAGTTTGAGAAGCTTGTTTGTGGATTAAAAAATTATAATAAAATTGTTTATTTAATTTTACATTTTAGGTGGTTTGTTGGAGTATGCCTTAATATCTTTGTTGATGAAGAGAAAGAAAATATATTTTAAATTTGCTAAAAATCAAAAAGTCGGAGAGTATTAAGAATATATGATTTTGGCGGTTCGCAAATATTGATTTTGGTAGATTTAGTTTGCATTTTTGTTCATCAATGTTAGAATATTAGATATATATTTTATATTAATTTAGAAATAGTCTAAATTAATATAAAAGATATCATAAGATACTTATAATATTTTATTCTAACAATTAATAGATTTTGTTTTGGGTTTTGTTATGGAACTGTTGCGTTTTACCAATTATAAATATATATCTCTTCTATTGTTTATGTGTGATAATTTTAGAGTTTTAGAACTAAAAAGGAGAAATAAGGGTTTAGAGTTTTCAAAAGCTAAACTTAGAAAGGCAAAGATTTTTGGGATACCTTTAGAATTATCTAAGGGATTGAGAAATACACTTCGGATTTGAATGATTCATATATTGAAAGTTAGAGAGACTGGAAAACACTTGGATAGAAAATAGAGTTTTGTTCTTTGAAACTCTGAAGGCAAAGATTATTTTCTTGTAACTTATTTGTAATATCTACTAAAAACTTTTTGAATATAGTAAATTGAAGATCTGCCCTCTCCCTCAGACGTACATATTTTGATCGAACTAAATAAACAAACATTTTACTTTTCTTACCTTATTTTCTTCTGTTATATTTTATGCTTATTGGTTATTATTGTTGAAGGCCAATAATTTTAGTTTCTATTGTTCTTTGCCACACATGTACTTAACTCGAATTAAACCTTATCATTTTCATAATATAATCATAATTGTATTACCAAATTTTATGTACACGTTATTGAGATCAAATTTAATAAAAATTTCTTAAATTAAATATTAAACACTACAAAATGTCATGTATATAATGGCGGTTATTATAGTACTTTTATGGCGGTTTCAACTGCCTTAATTTACGAATATGGTGTTTTCAAATAATGACTTTTGGATGCTGCTACGTAAAAAATGGCAGTTTCTTATCAACAGCCATACAAACCACCGTAGTATACCTTTTACATATTGGCAGATTCTTTTAGTTAATTATGGCCGTTAAACCATCGTAAGTTGCATCGTTTGTAAAGAGGTAACAGAAAATTGTGGCCGGTATAAACGCCTTAATTTTCACGTTTTTCACAAAAAAAAATGAGAAAGTATACTTTTCTCATATGCTTATGCATCTAATAGAAAATGGGAAAATCTATGTTCTAATTGATAATTATAGACTAACACTTATTTCTCATATAACTGTTTTTTTTTTTTAGCATACTTTTCTATCACTTGATTTACCCATTCTTCGTTTAGATTGTTTACATTTTTATTGCGAATATTAGTCATGGAAGCAGCCTCCTCTGCAAGATAATTTTGTTAAGGTTCTATCACATTATATGCACTCTAAAGATACAAAATTTTCGCCATCAATTGATGAAGACCCTGCATCACTTTATTTGAATAGTTTTTGTAGCACTAACCTTCCTTCCTCCTCACTTTCATTTGAAGGTTCAACAAGCAGAAATAACCACAAAGGTATCGATAGTAAACTCACGTGTCAAAATTTACCTTATTTTGTGTTATAATCAAAACCATCGAGAACCTAACAAGACCGAGTGAAATATACAAGAAATCAAAGAAAAAACAAATTCACACACGGTAACCCTTGAAATCAAATATTAATAAAAAATAAAAATAGATAAGCTACACAAATTAGAGCGATGAACAAAAATCTTAGTTATAAACACTTCTTTATATGTGAATGAAGCAACATTTTCATCCAAAACTTGGTCTTCTATGAACCCTAACAATGCTTTCTCCATAGGAAGAGAAGTGGAATACACCTGAAACAGTGAGATGTAGAGATGAAAGAGATAGAAGTTGTCACTAATAGTGGATTATGAAATACTGGAGCGATGGAAGGGTTTGAATCTTTTCAATAGATTTAACAGATATGGATAAAGAGAGGTGGGAGGAGTGAAAAGTGAAGAGAAAACATGGAGAAGGGAAAACTATTAGGGTAAACAAAATAAAATAGGTAATAAAAAATTGGAAAAAATAAGAAGGGATGGAAGACGAAAAGTATTAAATTGTAATTCATAGTGTCGAAAAGATTAGATTTAATTTAAGTCTAGAATAAATTAGATTTGATTTAGTAACAAAATAGATATTGTGGGCTTTGGGCTTAGGGTGCAAGCTCAGTTATAAATAAAGGGAGTAACCCATATTTTTTTGTAAGCAAGTCATTCAGAGTATTTTGCAGTTGTAAAGTGAATAAGAAAGTTTTCACAGTTTGTGAGCAGAGAGAAACTCTGCAGAAATTATTTGTCTTGTCTTCTTTCTTTGTTTGTCTCATGATTAAATTTTCATTGTGGTAGAAATTCATCAGACTTTGGTGAGTTTCCAACATTTGGTATCAAGAGCTTTGTTTCGATTGGAGGGAAGTATCAATCAAGAACGATTGAAGAAATCACGATGGCAAATTATGAGAATGCAAATTATCCAGCAACTCTACCAATTCTAAAAGTAGACAACTATGAGAATTGGTATAAATAGGTGAAAGTCTTATTCAGGTGTCAAGGTATTTGGGACCTTGTAAAAGATGGAGTCGAAGTGCTTGAAGAAAACGCTTTAGAAGAAGAAAAGTAGAAACACATAGAAATTGAGAAGCTGAGTTATACAGCGCTCTTTATAATTCATCAATGTCTGAGTCCAGAAAAATTTGAAAAAGTGTGTGATTTAGAATCTGCAAAAGAAACTTGGTACGTTCTTGATAAGTCCTTTGGAGGTGCAGAAAAGGTAAAAGAAGTGAGGTTACAAACTCACAAGAGAACTTATAAATTGCTTCAGATGGAAGATAATGAGAGTATATCTGATTTCTTCACTAGTTACAAAACTAGTGAATCAAATCAATGCATGTGGAGAAACATTAATAACAAGAGTTGTTGTTTCGAAGATCTTGCTATCTTTAGCTCCTAAGTTCGACCACATAGTGGTGGCGATAGAAGAAGGGAAAGACTTGTCAAAAGTGACAAAGGGAGAACTTCAAGGGACACTTGAATCTCACGAACAAAGAATGATCGAAAGAGCTGCATACAAATCAAAGAGTGATGTGGCCTTGCATGCACATTCAGCAAAAGAAACCAAAGGCAAAGGAAATTGTTTCGACAGAGGTAGAGGTGGCTACAATAAATCGAATGGTAGAGGAAACCAGATCGAAGGAAATGTGTCGAATCAAAGAAAACCATACCAACGCAACCAAAGAGGTGTTGTTGCAAATAGAGGAAGAGGTGGTGGTCGAAAACCTGATAAGAGTCACATTCAATGTTACAATTGTCAGAAGTATGGTCACTATTCGAGTGATTATCCAGAAAAACGAAAGAATCAAGAAAGTGATGCAAAGCTTGCAAAACATGAAGAAGAAGAGATGATGCTGATGGTCACAACAAAAGATGAAGATAGATTCAAGGACCGATGGTGCTTGGATTCAGGATGTTCATCATATATGTCTGGAAGGAAAGACTGGTTTGTTAACATAAAGCCCTCAACAAAAAATATGGTAGAATTTGCAAATGATAATACCCTAGTAGCTGAAGGTATTGGTGATGTTATGATTATGAGGAAAGATGGTAAAAGGTCAGTAATCTCTAATGTGTTGTACATATCAGGCATGAAGAGCAATTTTCTCAGTATAAGGCAGTTGGTTGAAAAGAATTATAAAGTTTCAATCGAAGATAAGATGATGAGAGTCGTTGATGCAAATGGGAGATTAATCTTGAAGGCTCCTATGGC